TTCCAACAAATTTATTATAGCTAATCGTGAAGATATTTCGACTCATCTTCCAATTAATTTCATACACACAATGGAAATGTTACGTATTTGCAACATTAGAAGAATATTTTACAATCAACAAGTTTTCAATGATATCACATAAACAATTAAAACTATGTATTTATTTATTAAAAACAAAGAAAAAGAACAATATATGAACTCCTAATCGATATGACGTTTACGATGTTAAAAGAAAAAAAAAAGTCTTATATGCTTAAATGAAACAAGAAGTTATCTTGTTGTACTGGTATTAAAGCTAATTCTATATCCAAGAGCCGGCACGAACGTGCGATTAGAGGGGAACTCTTAATCGTCTAATCATCGTGGAACACTAACCAAGTACCCTTCGATCGTGTTCGACGTGGTTTGACGTTATATCAGAGAGAGGGAATATTTGATTGATGATGGAAAGTTAGAAAACGGTGGGGAGACTAACATAGAGAAGGAGGGAGAAATAGAGAACTAGATAGAAGATGGAGAATAAGAGAAAGAGAAAAAGAAAGAGATAGAGAAAGAAAAAGAGAGAATAAGAGAAAGATGAGATCTTGTTCGGAGAAGGAAGATTTCCATCGATGCGACAGGATTTGATTTTCAACCCCATCGTCCTTTTAATACCGCTGCGGGGGTGGCCCTTCTACTACGACGACATCGTCGTAGTTCTTGTCGTCGTATACGACGTCGAGTAGAAACGATTGACTCGCGTTCCTGGTTATTGAGTTACGCAACAGCACGAAAAGCAGTCGACCAAGTTCTTTGTCTACCGGTCTGCCATCTGTCACCCTGAGAAGGCTCGCGAACAAGCGAGCAAACTATGACATGGTAGAAGGGTGTGGGCGGTTACTGCAACGCTTCCTCGTATGTAAACGCTTTCTCGTTTACCAACGCTCGAGAGCGATGGAAACGTTCGCGACGCACGCCAATATGTAAGATACGATCAAGATAAAAGCGAGATAGCACGACGAGTATAAGCGGACCTTCGGGAACGCTCCTATCGGGTATTGATTTTCTTCTGGCGAACGACGTCGCGTCGTGAACTGGTCGAGCCATGAGAGCGAGCTTTATTAATTCTCAGTTGGAACGTGCTAAAAGAGAAAAAAAATAGAGGTAAATAAATAGATTGATATAATAGAGAGATATATAAGATTATTATGTGAAAATTTTTTATGAGTATTATTATAGACGTACTATAATATATATACGAGGATGGGTTGAAAAGTTTCGAGACATGAGATAAACAAAATTCTTTTTATTTTTTAAATAAAAGTTACTTTAACCGAAACAAGATTGTTACTACGTTGAGCTTAAAATTTTTCAACCTAGCCACATATATATAGAATGAATTTTATAACGTTTAACTACTTGTATTTAATGATTTCTCAATTTATTAAATTAAATATACGTTTATTTTTATTGTTATATATACCTTCCTTGTTAAGGTTTCAAATTACTCTCCCACGAACACCATCTTACATTTACTTCACGTAACCAAAAAAGTCGTATCTTTTATCGTCTCTCTGGAGTCAACAGCCCATGTTTCTTTTTTATTCTTTTCGAACGGGTCAACCCATCCATTTTACTAACCGCGCCCAAGTTGCTCGATTTTAGTAATCTGACGGAAACTAATATTTCAGCGTAGATAGGAAATTAATTAATGATTATATACGTTTATTATGTGTATATATCTGCCATGTAAAATATAATTAACAAATAAAAATTTCCAAATAACTTATTTTTTCTTGATCATTCACATTAACTGTTTATTCATTTCTTTATATATATTTAGAAGAGAAAATAAATATAAGAAACGCACACACATACAAGTTTAAAGTATAAAATAAACTTTATTTCACAAAAAGTAGATTAGCTTCTAATTGTATATGAGATAAATACCGAGAAGATCAAGAATTTCTTTCTCGGTCTAATGTCTACCATTATTACGGTTTGCTATATAAAACTCATGCTATTGACACTGTACAATAATAAACTCATTTCTTTTTAACATTTATATTAAAAATTAACCTGTTATTTTTGTTTTTATTTCAATAGTATGAAGTTTGGCAAATATAGAGCAGGCAGTGTAACGTTGATAATTGTAGCGTATAAAGTATTGAAATCATATATTAATGAGTTGATTATTTAATGAATATTAAATGAATATTCGTAAAGTACAGACCTAGACAAATTTTTGTACTCGGAAATAGTCGATTCATCCTAATATATATAAATTCTTAAACTATTTCTTTTTTAAATAAACTGGTCAGTATATTACACAAAATCTGCTTGCTTAATATTATAGGATAATTAAAGAGCGAGTGAAAAGAGCAAAAAGAGGAAGAGAAAGAGAGAGAGAGGAAAGGGAAAAAAGAGATTGAAAAAAAATAGAAGGTATTCTGTGAATCACTAGACACCAGCCGTAAACGTTTGATGTCCGTTACGCACGTTACGAGCTCCAAGTACTCTCTAGATCTCGTTACAGTTCTGTAACGCGCGTATTCTGTTACGTTCAGCGCGTCCGAAATTCTGTGCGTTTTTCCGACGAATAATCGAACGAACATATCCGGGGAAAATGGTTAGAGCTGAAATAATTTTTCTTGCTTGATGGTAAATCGAAATTTCGTGCGCGTTTTCACGTTTATTCGTTTTCCATGTTGACCACATTTTTTTTAAAAAGAAGATTGTTTCGCGTGAATAACGTAATACGTGTTACCGCATTTAAACGAATCACATAAATACCGCATTACATTTACTATTCTTTTCAAAATTATCTTACTCCTTTCAAACCATAAAATTGCGTTAAATAATATTAATAAGTAATATTGATGATCAAAATACATCGATTATATTTTTAATTCATTTTAAATGTAATTTATCTCTAATAACAATTTAAAATAGTAATAAGTACATTACGATACATGTATACGTATAATATAATTGTAAATAGAGTCGATATACATAATTTAGCCTCGTTTCAAGGGACTTAACAGTATCCACTTTGCAAGAGTATCTTCCCAGAACGCAAGGTCACGCTCCCCACGCTTTAATCACTCCTGTTAGGAGAACGTTACGTCGTTAATTCGCTTGGATGGTCGTTGTATCTTAAAGCTACGTAGCGTATAAATTGGTCAACTCAAAAGCGCGAGACAAACGCGTTCTCTAAGATAGAAGGCTAGAGAGAGAAAGAGAAATAGAGATAGAGAGAGAAAGAGAGAAAGAGAGAGAGAGAGAGAGAATGGAAAGGATAAAGAGAAGGGAAAGAAAGAAAGAGAGAGAGAGAGAGAGAGATGGGGCTGAATGTGAGAGACGAAGAAAAGAGGGAACGAGGGAGATGGAGCACGGCTAATACATCATAAACTTAGAAACAAAGCGGAGAAAGAAAGAGAGAGAGAGAGAGAGAGAGAGAGAGGATGTCGTTGCCGCAGTAGTGGAGAATCCACTGGCTCCGGCATCCAAAACTTTGCCTATTTGTTAAGTCTTGCCGGCCAAAACTGTCTGAGATACTGGCGTCGAAGCGTAGCACCTAGCACCTCCGACCTCCTTCGCTAGCTAGTGCCGTACTGTCCCTTTCGGCAGCCCTATATTGCTACTTCGTGCATCCTTAATCGAGACAATATAGCTTCGAGTAGATGTAGAATTGTTCTTGAGACGCGTCTCACCAAATTTCCAGTTGCCAACCGTGTATTCTATTGTTCGATATTCCTACTATCTGATACTATCTTTTAGAATCTCCCCTTTTCTTAAGAATGACTTTGCTTTTCTCTGTTACTAATAAATATTTCAAATATCTACTTAGATAAATCTTATTTAAATTTCTATAACTATTATATATTCATAAGGTGTATCGTTGATCGAAAATGTTTTGTTTTTCTTTGAAATATTCATTTCTATAGAGACATAAAAACCGCTTATAAGTAAATTTCTTTCTCGGAAAATCATATAAATTCGTGATTTTAACTCTGTTCGATAATTACGGGTTCATTAACATCAATATCGGTGCTGATTTAATTTATTAATAAGATAGTTCGTACACTAGTTCTCAAATAGAACGCGATAAAAGACGGTTTATAAAAGGATTTTAAGTAATCGGTAATCGATACGGCATACGATTCTTTCTTGTTTATTTCATGAACGATTCGGTGATATCCTTCGTGATATAAATTTACGTCGTTATGTTTTTATCGGATATCGATTAATGTGAAATGAAACGAACATTAGTAATATTCGCGATATTATACAATAATTTGCACGTTTCATTGTATCCTGATTTATCGTGTATGCAATTTAATGTTAAAACATTAACGTGTGTAAAATTATTTGAATAAAAAAAAGAAATCGTCGAAAATTTAGCAACGTTCGTTCACCTTAGGTTATTCCTCTTCGTTCATACGAAATGAGTCTTCGGAATTCACCGTTTCTCCTCGACTGTGATGAAGAAGGAAAAGAATCTTCTTTTATTATTTTTTTTTCGTTCTTTTTGTATCTCCCAATACAATTGCACGATAGATTCGTGAAGTTTTGTGCGTATCTGGTTCGAGGCGAAAGTTCGAACGCGACACGCGTCCGTTGCATGTGCGTTGTCTGAGGGAGAATGTGTCGGAGGTGGTGGAAAGTTTGGGGGGGGGGGTGGTTTCATTGTGAACAACAATATCGCCTTGAGCGGCATTGGCGAGGCAGAGATGCAAATATCGTGGCGGACGACTCTCTTCAACCTTCGCTTCTCATTTTCAAAATTTTTGCCCAACGAAGACGAATTTTTCGTCGAAGAAAAGAACGTCACTTTCTATTCTACCGTTCAATCTTTACGATTAGAGCCATAGCTATAAGTACTTTTTTAATCTATACGAAAAAAAAACTCGTATCTTACAATCAACGACTTTATTAATATTCTTAAAGAAAAATAAATCAATGATAATAATTTATAATCAAATGCCCGAAATGATAAAAATTCCATTATTATGTTTCAGAGGACATCTTTCGCACCGCCACGACAACGTTCATCGTAAGTAATAAAGCCACTTTTTAATTAATCACGTGATTATCAGTTACGAACGATCGAACTTATTTTTCATAAATTTTGACCATCGTCGAACTTTCGACAAACGTAATAGTTCGTAGAAAGAACACAATTATCATAAAAAAAAACAAAATAACAACAAATTAAAGGACTATAAAAATATTGAACTATCGAAATCGCTAGTAAGACGAAATATTTATACAAGTAGAAATCTCCTGATGAGACGGCCATTATAGACAGTCTCGTTGATTTCTCAGGAAGCTACGCCAATGCATACATATATGCACGGTAAAAGGGGAAGGAAAGAGGTTGACAATGAAGCTCGAGGGGAGGGAGGAGGGTGGGTTTGAGCTTGGTAGAAGGAGAATGAGAAGGATGACTGTCGTCGTCGTCGTCGTCATCGTCGTCGTCATCGTCGTCATCGTCGTCGTCATCGTCGTCGTCGTTCTCGTCAATCGTAGAGGGTAGTAGTAGTCAGTTTGAGATGGTAGTGAAGGGTGATTGGCGAGGTGGAGATACTCAAAGGTACATAATCATGCTTGCTGATTCCTTCCCTAATAAAAGTCTCACTGTCACGGTTCGTCCCCCCACGAGACCTCGAGCAAGTCGACCTCTCTTTCTATTTATCTATCTATCTCTATCTTTCTCTCTCTTTCCGCATTTATACAACTCGTCGGAAAGTCCCTGTATTCCTCGTCTCGTACCTTCGATCGAGAGAAGCACCTCAACACCGAGATTCTCCTTCTTTTCTACGATTCTTCGTTGCTGCTGTTGCTACTACTGCTATTGAATACGCGTGACGTAGGACAAAAGTGCACGTACGCGTAGTAGCCGGGAAGTTTGTGCGATATATACACGCTTGCTCGCTTACTTCGGTGTATTGCACTTCTTCTTGTATTCTTTCTCTCTCTCTCTCTCTTTTTATAACTATCTTTCTTTCTTCTTTTCGTTGTGTGTAAGGAGACAAAAGTGGCGTTGGGTGGGGAGAGTCTGAGAATCGCGGGAGAAATACGGGTCAAAAATGCTTGACGCTGCACCATCTAGAGTTGCAGTTTTTTTTAATCTCTCGATATGCATTCGAAGACAGTGTTTCCTATCCTCGTCTTTCTCCTACCGGTACTTTCTCCTACCTATTCCGATTTCTTCTCTTTCACGTGGTACGAGTGTACGTACGAGCGGATAAAGCAGGCTTAGTATACGAATGTAGATGTGTGAGTGTGAGTGTGAGTGTGTGTGTGTGTGTATGCGCGTGTATTTATGTGTATGCATGTACCTAAGTACTCGTTGGGGATGTTCACGAGAGAGAGAGAAAGAGAGAGAGAGAGAGAGAGAGACAGACAGACAGACAGACAAAGACAGAGAAAGAGACAAATAGAGAAAGAGAGAGAGAGAGAGAGAAGATCAGTAGGAGGAGGACAGGCAAACCCTTAGAACGTCGTCGAACTACGAACGATTTGCAAATTAATTTAGCTTTGTCGGTCGATCGTCAACAATACATTGATCTCCCGTGCAAACACACCGGGAACGCACTCGCGCTACGTTTGCTGATATAACGTTAATAGATCCTCCTGCGCGACGAACTTGCAATTGCAATTGTAGAGGGAAAGAGAAAAACTGGGATAAGAAGTGAAAGATACTCAACAGAACCGATTTTTGTCTATTTGATTTTCTATCTTTTGAAAAATTCTTCTTTCCTATTTACAATAACGACTTTGTCAGAATTGAAAAGAAACATTACCAATTTAGCTTCTAATCGTAAACCCAATTACCAAGAGCACAGAAAGAATGCAAAAATAGAAGCATTGTTTTAATCAGATTACTTTTCAGAAAAAAAATAATAAAATGAGTTGAGATTATTAGTTTCGCTATCTTTTTTTAAAGAAAAGTTTTAACTCTTTTCTGAAATTTTTATAAGTGCTTCTAGGTATTGAGGATCGACAAATTTGAAAGTAAATCGATATTAACAATAGTATATGAGATATTCTTAGTAATACAAAAATGAACATAATAGTTTTAAATATAAAGGAACCGCCTTCGTTGGTTATCCCCAAGGACGATAGTTAGGGCCAGGAGGGTTGTAAGGTGAGGTCCTTAGATCGTTTTCGGTGTCTTCGTTTAAAGGGCCCCTTAGACTAGAGGGTCCTTGGCCTAGACAGGTCTCAAGGTGCATGTCTCTGGTGGATTTAAAAGACCCTCGACCAAGAAAGAAGAACGAAAGGAGAACCAGATGGTCCGACCTACCTTACTTTTTCCTTTTCTATCTTACACCCACGTGTCTTACCTTACGAATTACTTTTTTAAAAACGTATTCTCTCTTTATCTCTTTCTCTTTATCGTTCTTTCTTTTTTTTTTTTTACTCTTACTTTTTATCATTCTCTTTCTTTTTCTCTCTTTTCTTACTCTTCCTCGTTTATCTTGTAGAATTTTTTTCTCTGAAGGTCCGTTAATAACGCATCACGATGCGAAGCGTCGAAATAGAGCGAATGTAGGAGGAGGGAAAAAAAGAATAAAGAGAAAAAAGGGAAAATAGGCGAGCACGTTCGTTCGACATATGTTTCGAAGTTATTGTACCAGATCGGTCGAAAGGCGACGTTAATGCCGCTCTTTTTCGCTCCTCAACGGTTCTTAAACTCCGACCGTTCGTTATTAATACTATTAATCTCCCGTTAGACACGAGACTCTCGAAATTGGGGCCGGATATATCATGGATAGAGAGCCGCAATCTGTTTGCTCTATTTGATCTTAAATTGGAAACTGTTGTCAGAGGAAAAGGCTCGTCTTTTTCAATTTGATCACATAAAAGAGAGAGGGAGAAAGAAAGAATGTGTGAGAGAGAAAGAAAGAGAGAGAGAGAGAGAAAGGAAAAAGTAAAGAATAGGATTCGAGTAAATTGCTCGATAATATTTTCCCGTTCGAAGAAGACATACGCAATAAATTTTTAATATAGACCCAATTACCGATAAAGAGGACTCATCCAGGTGTGAAATGTAAGTTTCGCAAAAGTTCAGCTGGCTGCCAAGGAGCAACGCGAAAACAAGAATGTCTATGAGTTAGAACGTAGACGTAAACTCGAGGAAAACTGGTTTTACGGTTGAGATATTGTGTTTAAAACACGAAATGCCCCTGTAAACTCCTAAACGGAAAAACCGGAAGACCCATGCTGAGAATTAACAAAATAGGTTTACGAGACTTTACAAATAGCTCTTTCGAGTCGTTTACTATAGGAAAAAGGCGATCGTCCACCCATTATCGGAATGCTTAGATTTACAAGGCCTTGACCATTTTGTGTCAAATAACATGTCGGACAATGTGTTCGAACCACAAGGCTCTTTTATCACCTTGTAAATCTTCAGAAAACATTTTACCCGGAATCAGACAAATCACTCTCTCTTGTTCAAAATTGATCATTCCTAATTTATGATCGCTATCGCCATTATACCATCCGTTAATATAACAATCAAATTGCTATTTTATTGGTGCAATTTGATGAAACTTTACAATCGTACTACTTTCGTACTTTGCAAATCCATTATTGTTCCTATTGATTGTAAATTAAATAAAGTTTCTCTCCATTGTTTTTTCTAATTGCTAAAAGCCGTTTTGATTGTGTGATTTTTGTGGTTTTACGTATGAGGAAAAGAAAAAACAAAGAAAATACATCAAAATAGATATTTTAGTTGAACAAATACGAACAATTACTTTAGATCGTTTTTTATTTACATAACCAAGAATGATATCAGAATAACGTTTTTTAAAAATATTTTTCTGAAAAAAGTAGAAACAAAATCAATCTAAAATTGCAGAAGAGAGTATAATTAACACATTAATCGTTTATCGTAGATCATGTCTGCTTATTGAAGATACAAATTCTCGTCGTTCGTAATGTGAAAAAGCTAAACCTACTTTTAATATTTTTATAATATTTCTTATTTTTGTAATTCAAATCGATTTATAAAATGAAATATTTAAAAAAAATATAATTCCTTTTTTTTTAAACCAAGTAATTCGAATTTCTTTGATAGAATTATGTAGTTGTATATCAATCGTCGTTAGTAAGCAATTAATTTGATGCTTTGATAATAATTTCATTGCATTAATTATTTCTTAGTCAAGAAATTCGGCAGTTGCCTGAATAATGGATCAAAGTTATCTAAAATAATAAAGACTATTTCGAAGAATAAAAAATTAAAACGATTACTTCATGAACTAAAGTCATCGAAATCATTGCTACCCCTAATATATGATATAATTACTACTACTAAATATTTACATTTGAAACGTATAAATTGTTAAAAATTACTATCAAACGCTATATATATTATAAATTGAACTAAAATTGTAAGAGAAGTGTCATTCAATTTTGGTAAACAGTTCCTTCACGAAAAAATAGCTGTCATTTACATCTGGATGACGTATCCCTGAATGTGTTAAGGCGATATTCTTGCTCTCGTGCGCGTGCACGCACTATAGAAGGAACTCTCGAAGCGTGTTAGTCAGTCCATGTTGGTTGGAATTTCAATGGGGGCCTTCGTAGCACCCCACGATATTCTTAAACGAGTTCCATCGTCGTAAATGTGGAAGTAGCTCGTGCTACCTGAGCAGCTGCGGCTGTGTGCTAATAAAAAGGGAGAGAAAGGGAAAGAAAGAAAAAGAGAAAAAGAGAAAAAGAGAGAAAAGAAAAGAAAGAGAGCAAAGAAGTAGCAGAAGGAGGGGACAGGGTAATGGAGGGAAAGAAGCATATTGCTAGACGCCGCCAGGTACCCCATCGTAGGGGCCTAACGTCACGCTTGAGAGGGGGGCCATCTGCACCCTAACTAGTATGTGACGTCAGGTGTGACGACGTGTGCTACGATGAAGAAGCGTCTGTCTCTCTTCGTTCATTCATCGTCCCTTGCCTCTCGCACACTTATCTTTCTTTTCGATATATGCGTTTATGTATCTTTTTTATTTTTATTTTCTTGCTTTTCTTTGTTTGTTTTTTTAT